GTTATGGCTCTGGAAAGTTATGGCTCTGGAAAGTTATGTAATGTTATGTAGAATACTTTGTTATGTAGAATAGACTTTGTTATGTACAATAGACTGGCTCAGGCCTTAATGGCCCATTGACAAAGGGGGGGGGGCAGGTGAGGAGGCTGACTTTCTACCTTCCTTTTAAGGGGAAATATTTTGCCCTTTTAATATTTCCTAAAATATTTCATTTTCTAGCAGAGGGATGGGTTTTAACTTCTTACAGGACCTTAGAGGTCTTCTCGTCCAGGCCCCTATACTATTTCAAATAAGTCTATGTACTCAAGAGTTGTTTGGGTTTTTTTGTGCCGATTTTTAAAATCCACTCGAATTAAATCCAAAACTCCGAACCCTGCCGTCGTCCATCCATATGCACTACATTCGATCGGCTTCCTCCCCCCCCTCCCCCAAGTGCCGTATCCACCCCTGGGACCTCTAACCACGAAAAGTCTCCTTCTCAAAAACACGGCGCTGGCCCTTTAAGAAAAACTTGCCCTCTTCTCTCTTTCTCTCCCGCCGCCACAACGTGCTTCGCTGTAACCCCGGAGCCAATCGGGTGGCAGGAGGGGCGGAGCGAATGGAACGCGGGAAGCCGGAGGAAAGGAGGGGGAGGAGCCGGGGGTGGGTGGTGGGGGGAAGCGGAGCTTGAATCGTTAAGCATTGTTTGAAGTTGAGCGTCGCGCGCGGGAAAAAAGAGAGCGAAGGCAGAAGAAGGAGGAGAAGCAGCAGCAGCCACGGTCGCCACTCAACCGCCGAGCGGAAGAAAGAGTCCGCGGTCGATCGGCGGGGCGCGACTGCAGCAACAGCAGCAAGCCACCGTCGGACGGGCGGCCCCGGAGACTTTGCTCTCGCTTGGTTCTTTGCGGACCACCGCCTGTCTCCCTTTTGCTGCTTCTTAGTGCCGGCGAGGATCTCCGGGGCAAACTGGGACCCCTCCCCAGCCCGCCTCTCCCCCGATGGAGAACTTCCAGAAAGTGGAGAAGATCGGGGAAGGCACTTACGGCGTGGTCTACAAAGCCAAGAACAAAGTCACTGGCGAGGTGGTCGCGCTGAAAAAAATCCGCTTGGACACGTGAGTGAAAGACCTTTCCTCTCTCTTTCCTTCCCTCCATACAACACACACACACACACACACAACACACGGCGGGAAGAGGGATCGTTTCTCCACTTAGAGGAGAAAGCGCAGCCCCGGAGCCTCGCTTTGCTTTTGGGGAAGGAAGTCCCTAGCTTTGGGGCGGTGGTCCCAGGAGCAAAGGGTGCGGGAGAAACAAATAAAAATGAGAGACTCGTAATCTGGCGGCTCTGCAGCTCCTCCTCCTCCTTCGCCATTAATAAGGATGCCTTAGATCAGGGGGTCTCCAACTTTGGTAACTTTGTTTCCTGGTTGCTTTCTTGTACTCTATGACTATCATTAAGTGTTGTACCTTATGTTTCTTGACGAATGTATCTTGTCTTTTTATGTACACTGAAAGTATATGCACCAAAGACAAATTCCTTGTGTGTCCAATCACACTTGGCCAATAAAGAATTCTATTCTATTCAAGGCTTGGGGGACTTCAACTCCCAGAATTCCCCAGCCAGCTTTGCCAGCAAGGGTGCCTTATATCAGGGGGTTTCCTATCTTGGCAACTAAGCCTGGCGGAATTCTGGGAGTTGAAGTCCGCCAGGCTTAAAAGTTGCCATGGTTGGAGACCCCCTTGCCTTTTTATTTGGGTTGGGTCAGAGGAAGGGAGGTTATCATTTCCTCTGTTCTTGACCCAAATGTTTCCGGAAAGTTTTTATAAAGAGACGAGAGAGAGGAGCCGCGCAGCGTCTGGTCGCCTCAGCGGCTCCTCTTTTATCTCGCTTTTAATAAGGTGCTAATTTTACCTTGCCTGCAAAACGCTCCTTAGCCCCGAGCATTGAGCGAGGGCTCTTTCGCCACGTAGGTAGCTGGCGAAATGCGGATCGTCTGCAGGATGAGGGGAGCCCCCGGGCTGGGAGAGCTCTCCAGAAAGAGCGACGATGGAAGTTGGAATCGCTAGACAGCTTGCTTTACAAGTTCCTGTGATTATTGTAATTATTTCACGGCATGGCCGGCTGAGTTTGGAGCAAAGGTGAATCGAAAAATGTTCTTTCACGGGTTACAAGGATGCTGCTGACAGTAAGAGAATCTTATGTGACCCTCTGCCCACACTTAAAAGTGTCCTTTGCTATGAAAAGTAACTAGATGTCTCCTGTGTACTGTAGAATACCCAGCTGATATTTTGGATTTGGTTAATAATGCCAGGTCTTGAGCAGAGATCTTCAAACTTGGCAACTTTAAGACTTGTGGAGTTCAACTCCCAGAAGGAGAATTCTGGGAGTTGAAGTCCACAAGTTTTAAAGTTGCCAAGTTTGGGGACCTCTGATCTTGAGTAAGCCCTTTTCCCATTGTTTTGTTTGGGTGTGATTAAAATCATGAGTGCTGGCTTTGTTTACTAAACATCTCCCCCTTTTTATTTATTTATTTATTCCTCCCCCTTCATGTTTTCTTCACACTAGTCCTGTGAGCAAGTGGAAATGATTTGGGGAATATTTATATTCTGGAGTTTCCCAAGTCTTGTCCCTGTAAAGCTGATAGTTAGATTAGAAGGCCAGTTTGATATGGGAACCCAGACATTACAGGATACAAAGTCAAATATACCAAATATTCATACAGGATAATTAAGGAAGTCCCAGCATATCCTATTTAATCTGCATTACTAATGTATTATTCCACTTGTATTGAGTAATCGTCTTATTATGCACAATCTTTTTCATCTACAACTTCAGGCACTTAGTTGTCTATCTCAGCATCTCAAGCAGTCAATTTAGTTAGCTAAATTAATTCTAGTTTCATCTCCTCTCCTTAATTTAATTGTTTTCTTTGCTTTCAGGGAGACGGAAGGAGTTCCCAGTACTGCAATCAGAGAGATTTCACTCTTAAAGGAATTGAACCATCCCAACATAGTCAAGTAAGTGTGGAAAACAGGAAGAGATAATCTGGAGAATAATAAATAGAATGCTATTTTTGGTGGGCCTTCAGGCCATTTACCTGATGGTGGTTTGGTAAACAGTGGCCACTGTTCAATTTTCCAGCTAAATTGTTAGTAAACAGTGGCCACTGTTCAGTTCTGTCCAGTTAAATTGAGAGGAAGCATTTTTATGGGCTAATATCTGACAACAACTGATCTGGGAAAAGTTGCTTTAAAGAAGGTTTTGCAGTAAACTGGAAGTTACACACTTCCATGTTCCTTATTTTATTTCTGCTAAATTTAGAAACATGGGCAACTTAAATATAATTTGTAGCCTTCTGGGCTAATAATGACATTGAACTTGCAAACACCTTTTTTGTGTGGTTTTCTCATCAACATCCAAAAGTTATTGTTTGTCTTTACTTCCTATCCCTTCCTTGACTCCCCAGATTGTTGGATGTGATCCACACTGAGAACAAACTCTATTTGGTTTTTGAGTTCTTGCATCAAGATCTAAAGAAATTCATGGATTCTTCTACTTCGATCAGTGGTGTAGAGTTACCTCTTATCAAGGTAAGCCATGCAGAGCATGTACGCAACCCCCCCCCCCAACATAACTTACTTCTGGGTTCACAGGTATACTGGGTACATTTCTTTTTACTTGACAAAAGAACTGCAGAAGTGCTGCAAGCCGAGGATTTTGAGGGAAGCTTTGAGTCTTAATTGGACATGCTCCTAAATATAGAAGGCCATACAGAGCTGCTTAATGAACAATGTGTGCAGTAAGATTGACTTCGCTCCTAAACACTCTTGAGTTGACTAAAATCTTATATAGACCTAAATGAAATTATACAGCTCTGCTGAATCTTCAAGGTATTTCCTTATTCTTTTTAAATGTAGTAAATCAAAGCACAAGACCCTCTACTTTAGGTTACCAAATGGGAGTTGGAGGCAGTAGTCCAGCAGTATAGCCGATCCTGGCTTGTCCTTAAGGCTTAAGGCAGGCAGACCATGACTTTATAGACCAATGATGGTTAACCTTTTCTGCACTGAGTGCCGAAACCAGAGCGTGTGTATGGGCATGCACCAAAGTGCTGGAACCCAGAAGAGAGGCCATAGATTCGCCATCACAGTTATAGTCTGGAGAGTCTGGTAGACATGGTTCTTCATAAAGTGGCAAACAAAATGTTGAATTAGACATGCCCCTCAGGTCATTTGGACATGATCAGGGTCAAACCCAGTACCTTTGCCTAATCCCATCAGATCTAGATTGATCCTCCCTGCCCCAGACAACACCTTGCAATCTTATCAAACCAAAGGGGAAAAAAAGCTTCCCCATCAGCCAAAGGCAATTGCAACAAAACTGTCAACATCCATTTCTCTCAGCTGATGATCTCAGCATTCCATATCTTTTACAATGGACCTTCTCAGCTATGCTGCCCTCCTCAATGACCCATTTTGCATAACAATATAACTCACCCTAGGTACCCTGATAAGGGCCTGCCTAGCTTCCCCAAACTGGCCACAGCCAATCAGATCTCAAGGGAGGCCTTAAAGCCTTCAACTTATAAAAATGTTTGCTTTTCTGTTGTTTTGCCATTCCTCTTTCTTATAACACAGGGACTCAAGGATCCTTTCAGTAAACATGTTCTTTTCAGTATTGTGATCTTTTCAGACTGAATCTGTTAAGACCATAGCATATTTGTTTTACTTACATTGTAGCATCCCCATGGTTGTGAGATTTACATTCGGATGCTTGACCACTGATTTGTATTTAGGATGGCTGCAGTGTCCCTGAGTCCTGGATCACCTTTTGAGACCTAAATTTCTAATTTAACAATATACATTTTGGGGTCAATTGTGATCATAAGTTGAGGATTACCTGTACTGACTTAAAGACATTGGATATGGTCAATCAAGGTTTTAGTAGAGAGGGGGTAGATTAGATTCCAACCATAATCACACCATGTTACCTGCAACATTCTCTACTATTGGTAAGGACAGTATGGTTAGTTTGGCCCAATAGGCTCCATACATAACCAAACTTAATTTTATTCTAAGCATGTTTATGTTTTTCCTAGAGCTACCTGTTCCAGCTGCTGCAGGGTCTTGCCTTTTGCCATTCCCATCGTGTCCTCCACC